CACCTGCAGTGATTTTACATGGTGCCTTTAAGTTGTAATTCTTCATCTTCTAAACATATCCAGATGGTAAACATTTGCTAAATATAATTTTTAAAGATTTTTTTTATTTGAAAGTCAGAATGGGGGGGAGGGTAGTGGGGGAGGAGGAAAGAGGGGGAAGGAGAGGGAGAGAAAGAGAGAGGGAGAGAGATCTTCCATCTGCTGGTTCACTCCCCAGATGGCCACAACAGTGGGGACTAGGCCAGGCTGAAGCCAGCAGCCAGGACCTTATTCCGGATCTCCCACATGAATGCAGGGGCCCAAACACTTGGGCCATCTTCAGCTGCTTTTCCCAAGCTGTTAGCAAAAGCTGGATCAGAAGTGGAGCCCCCGGGACATGAAGAGGCGCTCATATGGGATGCCAGCACTGCAGGCAGTGCTGCAGTGGCGGCTTTAACTGCTACACCACAATGCCAGCTCCTAGAGGGTAAACATTTGAACAGCATCAAAGCATATGGTACTTACACCTCCCCCTCCCTCTCTGCATCTCCAGGCTCCCACGTATGCCTCCCAGAAGTAACCAGTTTTCCATTTTTGAGCATCCTTCCAGACACTGTCCCTCCATATGTCTTATACACAACATAAAGTGTGTGGATTCATTTGCTCTTCAAATTATTCAAAAGCCCACAGAGAATTAAATTTTATATATATGTATATATATATATAATTTGCACAGAATCTCACACAACATGAACATCAGATATGTTCAACATCCAGGCAAGATTGAAGAAAGAGGCTAGGATCTCTCAACCATCACAATGCCTAAGAGACACACTCCTCACTTTTAGGTCTGTCATCTCTTCTGAACCTATATTTAGCAGGTATCCAATCTTGAAGCAGCAGCTTCCTAACAGTATTACTCGCTGAATTAAAATAATATTCCACTCTCTTTATGAAAACTATTTTTTAAGCTACAAGAAGAAGCCCAGAGCTTTACTAATTCAGTATCTAATGAGCAAGTCCATATTCACTATCCATGTGCTTCATTATTTTGTAGAATGCGACCTGTCTCCTCTAGGCCTTTTGTCCTGAACCAAGAAGCCTTCTTAACTAACCAAATAAAAAAAAACATGGCTCCTGACAGCTCATGGAAGGTGCCTGAGAAATATCATAATCCCAGCCTCAGGCACCTTGAGCATTCTATATTTTTTAGATCAGCTTATGCGACAGGTTTGCTGAAACAGAGCATTAGCACTCATGCATTCGGTAACTAAATCCCTATTAAAAGTAATGAGAGTGATCACGTGGGAAGGGCTTGGTGGCTGCCACTGTCAGCCATGGACTCAGCTGTTTCTGTACCCCAATCACTCTCTCTCAAACTCTCCATCGGTTCCTTTAAGTCAGGATTCCTCATTCATCAAGATGGGCAAGAACTCTGGGTTTGAATCGGGTTTGAATCCTCATTTTGCCACTAGTTAGCTGTCAGACTTGACCAAAGATGCTCAAACTCATTAAGTCTTGGACTTCTTATGTAAAATTAAAACAATAAAGATGGCTCTCAGAATGGGCACTAAAAAAAGTTAAATTGTAATTTTGGTGCGGGTTAAGCAGCCACCTGTGACACCAGCATCCCACTTCAATTCAGTTCTCTGCTAACATGTCTGGGAAAAGCACCAGAAGACAGCCCAAATTCCTGGGCCCTTGCCACCCACGTGGGAGGCTCAGAGGGAGTTCCAGGATCCTGGCTGTGGCCTGGCACAGCCTTAGCCGTTGTGGCCATTTGGGGAGTGAACCAGTGGATGGAAGATCTAGCAAATCTCTCTCTCTCATTCTCTCTCTCTTTTCCCCCCAATCCTTCAACAGTGCCGTTCAAATAAACAAAATCTTAAAAAATAAAAAATGATATAATTTTTGTAAAAACCCTAAATACAGTATCTTTCAGCAGGACCAGCTAAATAATCTGTGGGACTCAGTGAAAAATAAACATGAGGCTGTCCCTATTTAAAAATTAAGAATTCCAAGGTATCCAACCAAATGTAGGCTCTGTGGGTTTGTGCAGTGAGCAGGCTCAGGCAGCTGGCTTTCCCTTTCCAGTAACAAATACTTAATAGATGGTAGCTTCGTCATCTCTTAAAACCTTTCCAACTTCTATCTGTACCTCACCACTCCTGCAGGCTCTCCTCTCCATGTCAAAGCCCAATCCACTCTACTTAAAAAGTTTCTCTGGGTCATTCCAAAAACAGGCATCACTGACTCAGAAGTAACCTGCATTTACAAGGAAAACAAAACCACCAAAAACAGGTACTTTAAGACAGAAGATGCTGCTATAGGTCCATGCCTTTCTCTGGCTTCCCACTCCTTCAAATCTTTGTTCAGGATAGGTGTTTGGCCCATGCTGGTTCGGATGCCTGTATCCCACATCAGAGCACCGAGTTCCATTCCTCACTCCTAACTCCAGCTTTTGTAGACCCTGGAAGCCAGTGGTAATGGCTCCCAGCTTCAGCCCCATCCAGTCTTGGCCATTTGAGGAGTAAATCAGTGGCTGGAAGCACATACTTTGTATGTGTGTGTCCCTCTTTTTCTCTCTGCCTCACTTCCTCTCTCTCTTTGCCTCCTAAATAACTATTTTTTAAAGATTTATTTATTTATTTATTTGGAAGTCAGAGTTACAGAGCAAGACAGATGGAGAGAGAGGAGAGACAGAGAGATCTTCCATCTGCTGGTTCACTCCCCAAATGGCCACAACAGTTGTAGCTGGGTTGGTCCAAAGCCATGAGCCAAGAACTTGGGCCATCCTCCACTACTTTCTCAGGCACATTAGCAGGGAGCTGGATCTGAAGAGGAGCAGCTGGGACACAAACCGGTGCCCATATGGTATGCCAGCACCACAGGCGAAAGATTATCCTACCGTGCCACAACGCACCCCCCAGCAAGTATTTTTTTTAAGTCTTTGTTGAGACCCATTTTCAATGGAAAGTCTACCATGGTCACTCAACTCAATACCATATTTTGCCCTCCTCCATCCTGTATTCTGTATCCCTTTTATCCCGTTTGACGTCTACATTTTCCATAGCACTTATCTTGCCTAATGTACTATATCATGTTTATAAGTTATGTGTATCTTGTACAGACACACACACACACAAACATACACATACATACACACAAGAAATATAAGCTTCAGGAAATGAGGGATTTTTCTCTGTTTTTGTTCATTTATTTACCCCTAGTGTTTGGCATATGGAAACATTTAATAAACACTAATTGAAAGAACGAAACTTATCCTTGAGTGAATGCATAACCAGACTATTGTTTTTCCATATGGAGATTCAGCAGGAGGTCAGGCCAGCCCACATCACAGATCAGTGGAAATAATAACAACTCTGCAACTGGACACCAACAGAGCTCAACTCACAGATGGGAAAGTTATCTCTTTTCAGAGCTCTGCCAGACTCACCTTAGTTTGAAAGGAATTGAACAGTCAATGCTACTAAGTCTAATCCTTCTTGTACCCCTCATTCATATACACAGAGTGCTGCAATGACGAGTGGCATTTTATGAGACCTGTTCATAAATGAGGCACATCCCTAAGTGGAGGATGTCACAGTTACTATTTTAAAAACAGGATTAGAAGAAAAATATCACTTATAACGGCTTTATCTCACTGACATGGAGAAAATAAGCTATTAATATCAAGAGGAATGAGAGGTCTCTAACCCCAAAACTGTGCATAAAGATGTTAGAGCCAGTCCAGGCTGCACTTCCAGGAGGTACTGCCATAGCCACAGGTGACATCCCAAACCCTGGCCCGTGATCTCACAAACACAAGTCACGAAGGGCAATGTGGATCCCTCCCACCAACCGGAAGATCACCCCAAAGCCGTGGCGTTCCAACTGCGGGAGGAGACATCTTCACAGCAAAAGAACCACAGGTTTGAGAAAGAGCAGAGCTGCTCCAGACCCGGTTAAAAGGTGGCCTGTTTCACTAGAGACATCTGGAGCGCCCCCTAAACAGAAGATACCCGACACCCAACATGCTCCAAGTTCCTTCCCAAAGACAGAAAGCACCTCTGGGCCCCTGATTCCAATGCAGCCCACAGGGTCTCCCGGGGCCCGGCTCAGAGCACACCCTGAGGATCCCAGGCCACATCTGGCTTCCTCCTCCCCACCGCACCGCTCCATGAACTTCCACTGCCTCGGAGCCCTGCACCCTGCACTTTTTAAACAAGCCATTCTCAGCCACCACACACACTCTGGTGGGAGTCAGCAAAGGAGGCCCTCATCCCTCTTCCCAAAATAACGTCAGCCAGAGGCAAAGGCCAGAGAGGTGGAGCCTGCAGGCCATTTTGCAAAAGTTTCAAATATCCTGGTACTGACCCCATTAGAAGAACCCCGAAAGGGAGAAGCCAAGGGCCGCTTCTCACTCGCGTCTGTCTGTCTCTCTCTCTCTCTCTCTCTCTCTCTCTCTCTCTCTCTCTCTCTCACACACACACACACACACACACACACAGCCTTTCTCAGACCCGCAGCTCCCTCAGATTTTCCATCCTCCTCTGCCGGCCTTCCCTCTGAAGAGGGGGAGGAGCGGATTTCTCGAGTGCACGGTTTAAGAAAACGCATACGACAGCCTTCCTCCTCCTGTGCAGAACACTTTTCAACACACACACACACACACGTCTTTAAAATGTCTACATGCAAACAAGAAGACAGAGGGAGGGGGAGAGGAGCGGGCAGATCGGAACGCCACTCGCCCACCCACCGAACTCAACAGCGTGCGGTTCTCCGCACACCGACCCCCGCGCCCGCATTACAGCACTGTCAGCAATAGGAAAGATGTGACAGATCAGAAAAGGGCGGGGGAGGCGAGCATACGAAGCGCTGCTGCTCTTGGGGAAAGTTTAACAGAGCACTGCCGCCTCCGTGGGTTCAGACGGAAGAGCTGCCCCGCTCCCCGGACCTCGGGCTCGGGCCGTGCGCGTTCCCCAGCGCTGGCCTCCCGGGCCTCGCCGCGGAGTGCTCACCGTGTGGTACATGAGGGCCTCGCTCTCCCCGGGCTCCGAGAGCTCGCTCAGCTTGCGGTCCCACTGCAGGACGCTCTGCTCCCCGCTCTCCAGCACCTCCATGGCGGTGCGAGCGCGCAGGGCCGGGGATGCCGAGGGCAGGCGGCGGCCGGGCACAGCCGTCTCGCGCCCGCGAGGTCCCGCGCCCTCGGGGGTGTGCGCGGCTGAGGCTCCGAGGCAGGGCTCCCGAGCGGCGCCCTCGGGGAGCTGAGAGACTGCGGGGAACACAAGCCGCCCGGGGCTCAAGGCAGGCCGTGCGTGCAGAGTGAAGGCAGGAGATCGGCTCCCATCCCAAGAAAACCCCTTCGCAACAAGCCCCTCTCCACCACTGCTCCAGACACAAACTTTGAGGCTCCCCTGGGCTTCTCAGCTTTGCTCCGGAGCCCAGCTGCGACCCCACCTCCCTCCAGAGCAGTGACCAATCGGATACCCGCTTCGTCCTCAGGACCCAATCATAAGTCTGTCTCCCCTCTCAGTCCCGCCCAGAAAGCAGGGGCAGCCCGAAGAGTCCGCCTAGTCTTTGGAATGTGGGCGGGGAGCGCCCTGGACGTCACCAGGGAACTCCTCCTACTTGATTGCGGCCTGCGGCCGGCTGTCTGCTACAGCGGACCAATAGAATGCTCGAATCCAGGAGTGACGGACGGCGGGATAGACCAATAAGTAAGGGGACTATGGGACGGACAGCCAATCAAATAGCGACAAGAATACATTTTATGAAAGAGGGAGGGCGCGCCCAGCCCCCTGGCTAAGGATCCCCAGGAATTAGCCGGCGCAGTGAGGGGAGCCAGAGCTGGTCCGCTACGGAACCTCGCTGGAGAAGTGGGCAGACTTAAATACTGTCCAGAATTTTCTCTAGGAGCTTCATTCATTTGAGTATCTCGGGCTTTTTTTTTCATAAATCACATACTATACATAAATATAAATATTTCCTTACGCATAAGTTGTTGTTGGCAGAGTTTTTAATAATCCCGCCCATTTTCTGTTAGGCTCTTCTTCTGACATGCTTTTTTATGGGCTTTATTATTCTGCTACTTTCATGTACTCAGTGGACATTGATCCCAGCTAATGACGTGGTTTTCCAGATCCTAAAACAGCGAGCTGAAGTCTTGAGTTCATAAAGCTTTTGTCCCAGCGGAAGTGTGAGACAGTAACAGATAAACAAGTGTGTAATTTAATTTCAGGAAAGTGATAATAGCTATAAAGACGAAAGTAGGATAAGAGGATGGAGCAGGCCCCTGCTGCTTTCTGTACTGGCCTGGGCAGGTGACATTGAGCAGGGACCTAAGGGAGGGAGGAGCTGGCAGCCCTGAGAGGGGCAGGGGCCAGGCCACCACTCCTGTCTGATTAGGGAGGAGATGACCTACTCGAAAGTAACTTCCCCAAACATTGTGATTTTCTTCCTCCTTTTGGACCCCACCTTTTAAGGAAACAGCTCTTGAAAAATATAATTTGCCCATGATAAATATAAAGGAGTCTTTGACAGTTGGTTCTAGATGTGTCTTACAATAGCACATTCAGCAATCAGCTTTTGCTTTATCCTCTTGGCAAGTGTTTTGTGGGGGTGGGGACAGTCAACTGTCAGAGCTCTACCTTGTCTTTAAGCAGCAGTTTCTCCTATAAACCACTGCATTTGACCACTTCTCATGGGGTCTTTTGTGATTATCTTAATGCTTAACTTGAAATCCTAGTTTATGGACACACACTTTCTTTCCCAAGAGTTTTCTCTTGAATCCTTGGTTTTTCTTTTCCAACCTGCTCCTGCCTTCAGCTCAACCAATTCATAGGTCACCCTTTTCAACTTTTAAAGACCTTTCCTGTTTTGTTTATGTAACACTCAACATGAGCATGAGTTACAGACAGGCACATCCTTGTTAGCACAGGAATGCTAACAGTTATCGGTGGAGCGTTGCTGCTTTTGACAGTCTGACCCTGTGCGTGTCCATGTTATGGGTCACTTCTTGGATGGCCTCCAGTGGGCCTGGCTCCTGGAATTCACGCCTGAGGCAATTCCTTCCTCTTGAGTATGGGCCACTCCTGGGGGCTTCCTTCTAAAAAACAGAACGTGAGAAAAGTGAGGGGATGTCATAAAGACTGCCTTCTGACTTGCTTGTTCTCTCTGCCTTTTGTTGCTTGCCCTGGGGGAGGCAGCTGTCATGCTGTGAACTGCCCCAAGGAGAGGCCAATGTAACAAGAACCTGAGAAAGGTGTCCAGCCACCAGCCAGCAAGGAACTGAGGCCCTCAGACCAGCCTCCTCTGAGCAACTTAATTCCACAACAACACAGGCAAGTGAGCACAGAAGGGGATCCTTCCCCTGCCAACACTTTGACTGGCAGAGACCCTGAGCCGGAAGACACAGAGAAACCACACTCAGATTCCTGACCCACAGACACTGCAAGGGAAGACATGCCCTTTGCTTCAGACAGCAAGTTTTTCCTCTGTAAACCCAGTGGTATGGGGGCCTGGTGTTGTGGCACAGGGGGTAAAGCATGCAATGCTGGCATCCCATGTGGGCACCAGTTCATGTCCATGCTGCTCCACTTCCAATCCAGCTCCCTGCTGATGACCTGGGAAAAGCAGCTGAAGATGGCCCAGGTGCTTGGGCCCCTGCTAACCATGTGGGAGAGCTGCAGGAAGCTCCTGGCTCCTATTTTCGGCCTGGCCCAGCCCCGGCTGCTGTGGCCATCTGGGGAGTGAACCAGCAGATGGAAGATCTCTCCTTTGTCTCTCCATCTTTCTGTAACTCTCAAATAAATAGATAAATCTTAAAAAAAAAAAAAAAAAAAGTGGTACAATCATTGACACCCTCAATGGTTTGGTGAAATGTAGTCACACGCTAACGACAATGTCACAATCCCTCTGATAATGTCTTAGCGGTTTTTGTGTTATGTGCCCTTCCCTTGTAAGATACATGAGCCACCAATACATTTTTCTGGGTTTTTCCTGATAGTACTTACTGTCTTGCCATGTCACCCAACTATTGACACATTTGTTCCATGTGCCTTTGGTACCTTCACACTAACATTAGAGTAAACTGGGGCCAGAATTGGGCACTTGACAGATCCTACATCATGAAAAGAGAACTTTCCCTCCAAGTGGTCATGGCCCCATTCTTCAGCGACTTTTTACTTGACTTGCATTAGCAAATATTAATCCATTGAAATGTCCCCTACTCATGTCCTGTGAATTTTTTTTCAGTTTACACACAGAATTTGTAAAGTACCTTGTAAATTCCAGACACCATAGTGTATATGTTTTTCCAAATATAAATGCATAAAGGGAAAAATGCAGTTGTGCCACTTCCCCTTCCTAGAGTGATGTTTAGGGAGAGAAGAGGCCATGTTCAGCTCAACTAGCAGCAGAAAGAAAGATGTTAAGTCTTTAAGTCAAAGTTCAGATCCAACTCCAAGAACTCCTGAGAAATGCATCTGAGCAGAACTTGGCCTTTTCTTCTCCTCTAACCAACAGCCCAGGAAAGGGGTAAGGAATAGAATTTCATTTCTTTCTTTAAGATAATTTATACCTGGAAAAAAAAAGTATATTCAAGAGTGTCTGAAATTCACCAGGTACTGAACAAGTCCTTATGGATACCCTGGAAAACAGGCCTCAGGACACTGAGGACTGAGCGTCCCTAATGTGACTCTTCAAGGTGTGCACCCCCTGCACCTGTTCCTCTCCTCTTCTCACTTGTCCCTTCGGGAGCTCCTCTCAGCGCCCCCTTCACACCACTCCATTCTCTGAGGACATCCCCCCCACCCCCGTCTTCCTTACTGAAACCACTTAGGATTACACAATCAGATTTGTGTTTTTGAGAATTCTCATGCCTCTTGAGCAGTTTTTTCCCCCCTTTTAGTATAGGAAACCATGGAATCCATGGAATCCTACCTATCTCCTTCCAAATCAGGGTGCCTGGGTTTGAGTGTCAAATCTACTCCCGATTTAAACTTCATGTTAATGTGCACAGTGGGGTGACAGCTGAAGTGAGTGAGTCCCTGACATCCATGTGAGAGCCCCAGATGGAGTTTTCAACTCCTGGCTGTGGTCTAGCCCAGCCCCAGCTGTTGACAACATTTGGGGAATGAACCAGCAGGTGAGATCTCTCTCTCTCTCTCTCTCTCTCTCTCTCTCCCTCCCTCCCCCCTCGTTCTCTCTCTGCTTTTCAAATAAATAAACAAGTTGGCTAATTGTTTGAATTTTTTATGTAAACTCCTGCCTTACAACTTACATGGAAGAAAAATCTTCTGAAGGACTAAGAACATAAATGTAAAGTAAGACCAAGCTAGAGATAAAATACTTTCATAATTTGGTACATACATAGTGTCTTCACATATGGGCATGCATATTATGCAAAAATGCTGCATGGATTTTTTAAAAATTTGAAATAAATGTCTTTTTTAAAGATTTATTTATTTATTTGAAAGTCAGAGTTACACAGAGAAAAAAGAGGCAGAGAGAGGTCTTCCATCCAATGGTTCACTCCCCAATTGGCCGCAATGGCCAGAGCTGCGCCGATCCAAAACCAGGAGCCAGGAGCTTCTTCTGGGTCTCCCAAGAGGGTACAGGGGCCCAAGGACTTGGGCCATCTTCTGCTACTTTCCCAGGCCATAGCAGAGTTGGATCAGAAGTGGAGCAGCCAGGTCTCGAACCGGCACCTATATGGGATGCCGGTGATTCAGGCCAGAGCGTTAACCACTGCGCCACAGAGCCGGCCCCACAAATGTCTTTTTTTTTTTTTTTAAACAGGCAGAGTGGACAGTGAGAGAGAGAGAGAGAGACAGAGAGAAAGGTCTTCCTTTTGCCGTTGGTTCACCCTCCAATGGCCACCGCAGCCGGCGCGCTGCAGCCGGTGCACCGTGCTGATCCGAAGGCAGGAGCCAGGTGCTTCTCCTGGTCTCCCACGGGGTGCAGGGCCCAAGCACTTGGGCCATCCTCCACTGCACTCCCTGGCCACAGCAGAGAGCTGGCCTGGAAGGGGGGCAACCGGGACAGAATCCAGTGCCCTGACAGGGACTAGAACCCAGTGTGCCAGCGCCACAGGCGGAGAATTAGCCTATTGAGCCGTGGCGCCGGCCCCCACAAATGTCTTTCAATTCCACTTCCCACAAGCCTTCCTGAAGTCCCTTCATATAGATGATAGGCAGATACAGAATATGGGTGTATGATATCCAAAAGGAAAGATATAATTTACATAAAAGAGTATAATGCTTCCCACGTGCTGCTCCCTAGAGTCCTTTCTTACTGAACGTCCTTCCCCATGGTTGAACCTTGATCCCCCTCCCACCCAAGTAAGCAGTGTGAATGGCCCCATGCATTCATGTCCACACTTGTCTTTATGCTCCTGCAATCATATGCAAGCCCGTTTCTCATATCTTGCTTTCCTCTCATAACAATAGAGCTTGGAAGTACCCCCCCCCCCGGCCCCGCACGCGCATGCGCGCCCCGCTGTCTGTACTCCATGTCTAGTGCATTCTTGTTAATGGCTGACCAGACAAGGACAAGGTGCTTTTTTATTCCCCTGTTGCTGAACTCGTACTCCATTTCCAAGTTTTACTTAAAGAAACATCAACTGTATGACATGGGCGATTGCTTTTCTCTTTTGAACTTCCCTGTTTGTGGCCTCCTCCCAGTGGTGGAAGATAGGGCTCAGGTTGATTGTGTGACCTAGGAGCACCTGGGACTCACAGAGCGGGGCTCAGGTGCCAGGGACCGGACTCAGAAAGGAGGAGGGAACCGAAATGGGATAAAGGCAGAGGAAGAGTTAGAGAGGCCCGGAGGATAAAGAAGTCTCATGGGTTTCCTCTGCTGGGCCAGTCTCGCCACTGGAGGGCCCTCCCCTTAGGATATTGCTCCCACTGTGTCATAAAAGCAGTTGGTGGGGGCCAGAGATTCCTTAAAAGAGAACATGGAGTTAGAAACCAAGCAGCTGCACTGAGAAAGAAAGCAAGCTTATTTCAGCCCTGATTTGGATCATTTCTGCAACACTGCCACCATGTGGCTGTAGAGGCACAAGCAGATAACAAACCCAAGCACGACTGGAAGAGCTGGGCGATCGTTAAGTGAAACCAAGTCTCACATTCTGTCGCTCCCCGTCTTCGTGGGGGAACGACACAGGACCCTGTGCTGTTCTTTCAGTCTGCTCGGCCCTCCCCGGGTTCGCTGCTGGTTCTTCCCGGGTTGGCTATTATCCCTTCCACCTCCGTGGAAGGGCAGTTCCCCCTGGCCACATTCCCCACTTCCGCAGGGGAGCGGCACACCGCCGGCCGGCTCTCTCGGGGGCTGCACGGGTTCCCTTAGATGTTCCCCATAGATGTTCCTGGTGCATGCCGTCTCTCTCCTCCTTTATAGTCCTCCTCCGCCAATCCCAACTCGGCTGAGTACGCTGCTCTCCAATCAGGAGCAAGTCCTACAGTTAATTGGTTGAACTGGAGGCAGCTGTGCGGAAGCTGTTTACTTCTCTCCCAGCGCCATATTGTGGGAGAGCAGATGCATAGAATAAGTCCTAATTCGAGCAACTTAGTCTAGTCCGGATTGCTCCCCACAGATCCCCCTTTCTTTTTATTTTTGGCGTTGATACGCGCCTGTCTTCGGTGTCCCGCAGCACACACTCTGCTGTACTTGCTAGAGTTGCCACAGGCTCTTACAAGTCCTATCAATCAGGAAAACCGAATCCGGGTCCTCTCTTCGCCATTGTGAGGAGGTTTTTAGGCGCTGATGCGTGCCTGTGTTCGGTGCCCTGCAGCGCATACTCTGCTCTGCTAGAATTGCCTGCAGGTGTTTACAAAACCTATCAGGCAAACCGAATCCAAGCCTTCTCATTGCCGTATTGTGGGGGAGACTTATTAGTGTTGGTTCGTGCCTATCTTCGGTGACCTGCAGCTCATACTCTGGTCGAGCTTTGCTGGCGCTTACCGCCTTAAATCAGGCAGACCGAATCCAAGCCTCCTAATTGGCATGTTGAGGGGAGGCCTTATTTTTCTCTATTTCTCTATCTCCGGGCATTTCTATTTCTCCCATTTTACTTCTGTCTGCCAGCATTCCTATTTCTCTCACTTTACTTCTAAAACTTCTGTTTCTCTTATCCCCGCAGCTTCCCGCTCTCATTCCATTTCTAAACTTCTGTTTTCTCTTATCCCCGCGGCTTCCCGGCGCCTCGCCCTGCCGGTAGCTTCACGGCTCCGCGCAGCTTCCCGGCGCCTCGCCCCGCCAGCGGGCTCCGCCCCGAGGCTGCTTCTCCGCGCCTCGCCGGCTCTGAGCCGCTTCAGCCCGCGCCTCATCTGCGCGGCTTCCCGGCTTTGCGCGCTCCGCGGTCTCCACGCTTAACCCTTTCGCGTCTGAACCACGGCCTACGCCAGCCCCGTTCCCTATCTACTCACGCCCCGTGCTCTCTCTGCACGCGGCGGCTTCCGCGAGTAACACAGCGTAGCTTGCGTCTCCGCCACTAGGATTCAATCTAAGTTCCCCGGGCTAGCCTGGCGAATTCAACCCAGCGTACGTCTCCGCCCCACGATTTGGCTTCCCGTCCTTTGCTCCCCGGGCTAATCAGACGGATCCCAATCTGGCTTGCGTCTCAGCTTCTGGTTTTAACTTTTCGCCCCCTATTCCCGGGCTAACTTGAGAATCCCAAAGTGGCTTTCGTTTCCGCCTTGGCCTGCCCCCCGCGGCTTCAATTTCCCTAACATTTTTCTCTACCCGGTATGTTTCCCCAAGCTTTCCTCCAACGATATTCCTCCCTCATTTCTCCTGGCCTCTCCCCACAGTCCACGTCCGAGTCTGTTTGTTCTAGCTTTCACTTTCGCTTTCGACCTTAGAGATTTCTCCCAGCTTCCCCCCGTAGTCCGTATCCAAGTCTATGCCTAGGCTTTCAATAGCTTCTTCCGGCACCCTTTTTCGTCCGGCTTTTCCCTAGGCTGTTTGCTAGTCTCTCTCTCCGGTATTCTCCCAATTCTTCCCGTTTCTTCCCATTTCTTCCCTCCTAGGTTTCATATCCGTCCTAAGTTTCCTATCCGAGCTAGGTTTCCTATCCGAGTCACGGCACCATTATGTCGCTCCCCGTCTTCGTGGGGGAACGACACAGGACCCTGTGCTGTTCTTTCAGTCTGCTCGGCCCTCCCCGGGTTCGCTGCTGGTTCTTCCCGGGTTGGCTATTATCCCTTCCACCTCCGTGGAAGGGCAGTTCCCCCTGGCCACATTCCCCACTTCCGCAGGGGAGCGGCACACCGCCGGCCGGCTCTCTCGGGGGCTGCACGGGTTCCCTTAGATGTTCCCCATAGATGTTCCTGGTGCATGCCGTCTCTCTCCTCCTTTATAGTCCTCCTCCGCCAATCCCAACTCGGCTGAGTACGCTGCTCTCCAATCAGGAGCAAGTCCTACAGTTAATTGGTTGAACTGGAGGCAGCTGTGCGGAAGCTGTTTACTTCTCTCCCAGCGCCATATTGTGGGAGAGCAGATGCATAGAATAAGTCCTAATTCGAGCAACTTAGTCTAGTCCGGATTGCTCCCCACAACATTCTATCTTAATTTCCAGGCCACAACTCAAGGTATAGAACATTTCCATCAACCCAAGATGGTGTTTCCTGATCACTAACGCCCCATAAGGAACTGCTGTCCTGACTTCCATAGAAGAGATCTGCCTGTTCTTCAACAGTACCTCTTTTAAGTGTCTTGCCTACAGCGTCTGTCAGAAGCATTCATGTGGTTGCGTGTACAGTTGATGCTTGTGATTCACAGTGGTTCTGCTCTACAAAGTCACCACACATACCCACTGTTCCTGGGCAAATTGCAGTTAGTTTCCTGTGCAGCCTCTGGTCATGACAAAGTCATCCACCTCATAATACACATCAATAAATATACCATTACCTGTACACATGTACCATCTGTACACATGCACCAGCAAATCAATATACTTAAGCAAGCAAAATAAAAACGACCAAGCTATGTGTGTTTCAAGACACTTCACTTAGTATACATTGTTAATGCATTAGCATTGAATGCCCAGCCAACAGCACTATAACATGTGCACAAACAAATGAAAGAGATTTACTTCACACATGTATTTTCTCTACAAGGTGCATCTTAGCCTTTTTGGACTTCTTTTTTTAAAAGATGATTTATTTATTTGAAAGAGATAGATAAATATCTTCCATCCATTGGTTCACCCCCCCTGAAAGCTTGCAACAGCCGGGTCTAGGACAGGCTGAAGCCAGGAGCCAGGAGCTCCATAATTTTCTCTTTAATGTGTGGCAGGAGCCCAAGAGCTCAAGCCATGTTCCACTGCCTTCCCAGGTGTATTGGCAGGAAACTGGATGGAAAGTGGAGCAGCTGAGACACCAAATGGCACTCTGGTGATATGGGATGGCTGCGTTGCAAGTGTCTGCTTACCACAGTGTCCCACAAGGCCAGCTCCACAGCCTTCTTGTACTTAGAAACACTAGAAAGTTCTGTCTTAGGGGAAAGCAGGCAGCCCTATCCCCACCAGAAGCCCCCAGATCCAAGGTGCTATGGAAGGCAGGGAGCAAGCTCCTGTGTGTCCTGCAAGTAGGAGATTGATGGTGTTCTGTGTGATCTAAAGAAGTTCCCCTCTGCTTCTGTTGTTAAAGATTTATTTATTTATTTAAAAGGCAGAGAGAGAGAGAGAGAGAGAGAGAGAGAGAATCTTCATCTGCTACAAATGGCTGCAATAGCCCGGTCTGGGCCAGGTCTAAGCCAGGAGTCAGGAGCTCCATCCTGGTGTTCCACATGAGGAACAGAGACCCAGGCCTACAATGCAGGCCCATGTTGATCTTCCTTATTTTACCCAATAATGATGGGATCACCAGGAGTTAAGGGTGCTCTCAAATGGCAAAATATATAGGAAAGATGGACGAGTAAGAACAAACACTTCCCAGATGTATAAGGATAGGGTAAGGAAATAATACTTGATATAGGCTGTGCTATTCTGAGTTGAACAAATATTAAATGATTAAAGTTGAAAAGAAAACTTTTGACATATAAGAACTTGGGACAAACAAGACAGCAGTATTGAAACATACATCAATATAAAGTTCATATAGATATTTTATATATTATATTCATATTGAATACAAATAAGATAAATATGATAGAAATAGACACACATAGATATTTGAGTATGTGTATATTTGAACACATAATATTGAAGATTTTAAAGATAATGGCTTTAATGCTGTAGCTACTATAGTGATGATTATATATTAAAAATAGAACATTAGGAATAATGAATCAGAGAAGCTCTGTTGGGTAAAATAGCCTGCCCTGAACCAGGAAGAAAGCACAGGGTTGTTGGTATGAAAACCAACACAGCCCTTTCAAAGTTTTCTTGTCTGCAATAATATTGCCTGGAGCTTGGTTGTTTGGTTAGGCAACCCTGGAAAGTGAGCAGAAGGAAACCATAAAAACAGTTTATTTGATGGAGGGAAGAGAAGCATCAAGTCAGGCAAGCAGGTCATGTCTCAGAGAGGTGAAATCAAATACTCCTCACATTTGTGACCATAAACTTTTCAAACTTACTGTGTTCCTGGAGGTGGTTTGCAGGAGGTAGGCCTTAGCTTCAGATCTAAGCAGTTTTTCCAACAAGTCTTTGGACTCCTGTTGGCTCTTTCCAATTGGGAGTGCAATTCCTCATTGGTTTCTAGAGGACCAAGAGTCAGTGCCATACTGATGTTTGTGGCAAAACAGGTAGACCCAGGGACTAGGAAGAAGACACCCAAGCAAAGGATGGGTTAAACAAAGAAAAGGAAACCACTTTCATTAGAACTAAGAGAAGATAGTTACTGTAATTCTCAACTTACTGTTAGGAAACACCCCAAAACGCTTGGAAGCCTTTAATTCCGAATTGGTCAGATACCAGAGTGCAGAGCAGAAACTCCTGCTGTTGCTCAACCTGTGACAGAGTGAGGGAAGTAAGGCCTGGGTTTCAGGTAACTTGGCACTTACTACCATGGAATCAGAACATTGAGGGGTAGCATGGACTCTTAGGAGCCACTGCCTTCCAGTGGTCTAGGCCTGGCTCATACACAAGGCTGCTTGGTCTCTCTTAAAATCTCCAACAATGGGGAGCACCTACTCATCCTCCAGTCTCCATATTGTGTGCCTATGCTCTTACCATAGTCCCACCTCTTCCCCCTCCAAAAAAATCTAAGCATATTTTCCATGGTTCATTCCTCCGTGTCTAAGAGTTTAAGGCAGAACCAGTTTCCCAACAATTTTTACTTTAAGGGCTGTCATGAAGTCATCCTACCTTTTCTTTAGGCCTAAACAGATTGCAAGGCTTGAGAGATGTCAAATTATAAACTATCATGATAGTCTTCTCAGAGACTTCTGCTGTTTTGTTTTGTTTTGGTTTGTTTTTTTTTCATTATATGTTGGGACCAAAGCAGAGCACAACACTAAGTGACGGATTCATTTTTGAATGTTTTGTGTCCCATCTCAATAGACTTCTTGCTGCATTCAAGAGTTGTGCTGGAGAAAAGCTGGAAGCATTCCCACTGAGAACTGGAACCAGACAAGGATGCCCACTCTCACTATTGCTATTCAATATAGTCCTGTAAGCTTTAGCCAGAGCCATTAGGTAACAAAAAGAAATCAAAGGGATTCAAATCAGGAAAGAGGAAGTCAAAATATCCCTATTTGAATATGACATGATTCTATATATAAGTGATCCAAAAGACTACACCAAGAAACTATTGCAACTCATAGAAGAGTTTGGTAAAGCAGCAGGATATGAAATCAATAAACAAAAACAACAGCCTTTGTCTACACAGACAATGCCATGGCTGAGAAAGAACTTCTAAGACCAATCCCATTCACAATAGCTACAAATAAAAATCAAATACCTTGGAATAAATTTAACCAAAGATGTCAAAGATCTCTGTGATGAGAATTACAACACATTAAAGAATAGAAGAAGACACACACAAAAAATGGGAAAACTTCCATGTTCGTTTATGGATTAGAAGAATCAATATCATCAAAACGTCTTTTTCCAAAAGCAATTTACAGATTCAATGCAATACCAATCAAAATACCTTAGACATGCTTCTCGGATCTAGAAAAAATGATGCTGAAATCCATTTGGAAACACAGGAGACCTTGAATAGCTAAAGCAATCTTATACAACAAAAAGAAAGCCAGAGGAATCACAGTATCAGATTTCAGACATAATACAAGGTAGTTACAATCAAAACAGTCTGGTACTCATACAAAAATAGATGGATAGACCAATGGAACAGAATAGAAATTGTGGGGAGCAAACCGGACTAGACTGAGTTACTGGAATTAAGACTTATTCTATGCATCTGCTCTCCCACAATATGGCGCTGGGAGAGAAGTAAACAGCTTCCACACAGCTGCCTCCAGTTCAACCAATAAACTGTAGGACTTGCTCCTGATTGGAGGAGAGCAGCGTACTCGGCGTGTGGGCAGCCGAGTTGGGATTGGCGGAGGAGGACTATAAAGGAGGAGAGAGACGGCATGCACCGGGAACATCTATGGGGAACATCTAGCTGAAGGAACACCTGTGCAGCCCCCCAGAGAGCCGGCCGGCGGTGTGCCGCTCCCCTGCGGAAGTGGGGAATGCGGCCAGGGGGAACTGCCCTTCCACGGAGGTGGAAGGGATAGTAGCCAACCCGGGAAGAACCAGCAGCAAACCCGGGGAGGGCCGAGCAGACAGAAAGAACAGCGCAGGGTCCTGTGTCGTTCCTCCACGAAGAGGGGGAGCGACATAATGGTGCCGTGACTCGGATATGAAGCCTAGGCAGGACTTAGTGTCGTTCCTCCATGAAGAGGGGGAGCGACATAATGGTGCCGTGACTCGGATATGAAGCCTAGGCAGGGTTCAGTGTCGTTCCTCCACGAAGAGGGGGAGCGACATAATGGTGCCGTGACTCGGATAGAAAACCTAGGACGGATAGGAAACCTAGCTCGGATAGGAAACCTAGGACGGATAGCAAACTTAGGAGGGAAGAAACGGGAAGAACTGGGAAAATATCGGAGAGAGAGACTAGCAAACAGCCTAGGGAAAAGCCGGACGAAAAGGGTGCCAGAAGAAGCTATTGAAAGCCTAGGCATAGACTCGGATACGGACTACGGGGGGAAGCTGGGAGAAATCTCTAAGGTCGAAAGCGAAAGTGAAAGCTAGAACAAACAGACTCGGACGCGGACTGTGGGGAGAGGCCAGGAGAAATGAGGGAGGAATATTGTTGGAAGAAAACTTAGGGAAACATACCGGGTAGAGAAAAGTGTTAGGGAAATTGAAGCCGCGGGGGGCAGGCCGAGGCGGATACGAAAGCCACTTTGGGATTCTCAAGTTAGCCCGGGAATGGGGGGCAAAAAGTTGAAACCAGAAGCTGAAACGTAAGCCAGATTGGGATCCGTCTGATTAGCCCGGGGAGCAAAGGACGGGAAGCCAAACCGTGGGGCGGAGACGTATGCTGGGTTGAATTCGCCAGGCTAGCCCGGGGAACTTAGATTGAATGCTAGTGGCGGACACGTAAGCTACGCTGTGTTACTCGCGGAAGCCGCCGCGTGCAGAGAGAGCACGGGGCGTGAATAGATAGGGAACGGGGCTGGCGCGAGGCCATGGTGCAGACGCGAAGGGCATGGAGACCGCGGAGCGCGCGAAGCCAAGCTGCGCAG